GCGTATTTGGTGAAAAGTTGAGACTGGGGAATGAGGAAGTTTTGGACAGGGCACATGATGGGTGTGAATCAAGAAGTTTCTTGTGACACATGGGTTAGAGGTCTAGATATCACCCAAGTTCAGTATGGTGGGTCACACACATCCCTGCCCTCCACCAGCTTGCAGCCTAGAAGCCTTTGTTTACTGGGCTTCCCTAGGGGCATGGAACCAAAGCAAACCACGCTGTGTCAGGAAAGTGGTTTTTATACGGGTAAAATGACCGCAGAGGTTGTCCCAGTATTTGGGGGAGAAACTGTAGATGGACAGAGGCTTTTGCCAGTTGCTGCTCACTTTGCCTTGTTGAGATTTGAGGCCATCTTGGGTTGATCTAGCATGACAGAAATGTCAACACATGGCCCTGCCCATCTGGAGGAAAGATGAAGTGAGCCAAGTTTGCTAAGGTGAAGGGTTTCTATGTGTTAGACTTAACTGTATGTCAAATTGAGGCATTCAGGAGGGCGGTTAGAAAAATGAGAAATACTAAACATAAATATGGAAGTTAATTCTCTAAAATCTTATAATTTTGACTGGTGTTCAAATTAAAGGTTCCTTTATGGAGGAATTCCTATAACTTATCGAAGCAAAGCATTTTAATAATTAGGTAATTATTTGTTGCAATAAATAGATTCAGAAATAAGTTCAGGCAAGATTAAAGAGACCGTAGAGAATTAAAATACTGTTCCTATTATCATTCTGTCATGTTGTCCTGACTGATGTTTCAGCTGGTCTTAGAGCTCCTCCTACTGGCCAGTTCCATGATCCAAGTACATCCTTCAGAAATCTGTGATCTGAGAGCTTGGTGTAATTTAATGTGTTAAAATGCAGAATACTTTTAGAGTTTATTTAAAGTTTAAAAATGAGTTTATTTGGTATGTTATCTTCATAGTCAAACAGAGTTCCTCTTTCTACTAGTTGTCTATATACTGCCTTTTTATCTGTGATGGGGGGAGGGTAGTTTTATAAAGTTTTGTTGTTTAAATGTCCTAAAGGAATCCAAACGCTCGTTCTTCACTAGGTCCAGTTGGTGCTGTGGACCAGAGTCTTATGAAGGATATTCCTGGCCCTGCTGGGGAGGTTTCAGCACGTGGCCCTGGAGTTGTCAGCACAGCTGTGGTACAAGATGGCGATGGCAGAAGGGATGTCAGAAGCCCAGCTAAAGCCCCCCATGTGCAACTCATTGAAGGAAAGGTATGGTTAATTAGTAGAACACGTGGTTTTAAACGTGTACTTAGACTAAAGGCTGTCTTTGCATTTGTTTTTTCAGAACTCAAATATTTAATAGCAGTCATTGTATATTCTCTGTTCATATAATTTTCTACTTTTCAAGAATGTGTAGACTTGCTGATTTGGAATGGGTCTCTAACCTTTTTCTGATTGTTGGTTCAAAGCAAAATATTTCAGTATCTTAATGCAAGTAAGTGATTTACTGGCCTTTTGTCTGTCTTTATAATCATCTTATTTAATTAAATCCCCAAATTATAAAAGCTATGATGATTTGAAATTCATATTTGCTTTGTTTGAAGTAAATTTTAATGTGTAGCCTGTATGTTGATTATTTTATTGTATTGACTTGAATTTTTGAAATGAAGAAAGGTGGTCTTTGAGAAAAATGATCATTTTTCATTAACAACCTATAACTGATGAAGAAGAAATTCTTAAGCAAAATGTAATTGTTTTGTGACTAGTGAAAAGATGGTGAGTTGCTTTGGGCCTTTTTTGCTGCTTATACCACAGTATAAGGAGAAGTAACCTATGTTGTGTTTTCACATTTGTCGCTGTTACTTTACGTTACCCGGGGCAAGTACAGTTACTCAGAAGTTGATTTGGAGTGGCTTTGAGTTCTTCAGATCTGTTTTCCGAATCTGCACAAAGCAACTTCTGAATGGATAACATTGGAAGTAAATGTGAAAAAAGAAACGAAACCATCCTGTGGATCAATACTGTTTCCAAAGTGTTAACTTTGAAAATTTTCTAAATGTGCAACATGGATTTATAAAGAACCTTCTAGATGAGGTAGCTGCCAGTGCCTTACGAATTCCTGCCCCGGCAGCCTCTAACCCCTGCAGGGAGGTGCTCGGGCAGCATGGGGGCCCCGCCTCATGATCCACGTGCAAGTCTCCAGGTAGTGCGTGCCACCAAATCCTCTTCACTCCTTTGTTAAGGAATTTGTGAATGTCACATTTTATAAAATTTTTGGTTAAAACCTAGTTAAAAAGAACAGAAATCGCATCGAACAAGGTATCCTGAACTGCTGGAAAGTTGTCAGAATGGCTGACGATCATGCTGCCGAGGCACTCAGGAGAGCGACTGCTTACATCGGGGACAGGAGGGCTGATCACTTGAGAAAGCCTCCGTTCCATTCTGTCTAGTCTGTTTGATACAAAAGAAGAGTTCTTGTCAGTTCCAGAGGGAATACGACCTGTCTTTGGCAACCAACTAGGGTGCGCTGACCTTTTCGCTAATGTTTTCAGTATTTGTCAGCAGCCAGGTTCAAAAGTAATAATACTATTTAGGGGGGAAAAAAAGTAATAATACTGTTTGAGTTTCACGGCATCTATGCGCAACCAGTCAGGAAATAATGATTAAATCAGACTATGACCATAAGTTGTATGTGATAAAAGTAGTCCAGTTTTCCTCTTTTAAAAATGGATCATTTAATTCATTTTCTAGTGATACTGTGTTACTGCAGTCCCTCCTTCTGAGTAAAGGTTTTCACTAACTACCCATTTCTTCTTCTCTCCTCTTTCTCTCTTGCCTGTGGTTCTCCTTTGAATGTCTCCGCTGTGTAACCTCACACTCACCCGCGGGTTTGCTTTGGAGAGCAGCCTGTTTCCGTGTGCCCACCTTCACCACTCATCCGCTGTGCGCCATCTCTTTCCCCAAACCTGTTGCCGGTCCCTGAAATGGACCTGCTCTCAGACATTTCGGAGGAAGACCCCTTTGGGGAGGCCGATCAGGTCACACTAGACAGCGTAGAGCGCCTTTCCATGGGCGACACCTCAGAGCAGGGGGACTGTGATTCTGTCTTGGACCCTGTCGAAGCCCCTCCTGAGCCCGACTGCCCTCCCACCCCCGAGAAGCCTCTGCAGGAGGCTGACCACACGGATTCTGAGCTTGGGTACTTCTCCTTCAGTTTCTGCAAACGCTTTCCACCTCGCTTCCCCTCGCTCCTCGATGAGGATGGCTACCTCGCCTTCCCCAGCCTCCCCAAGGTCTGGGTCTCCTTCCTCCCTGCTGACGTCCAGCACTACGTTCCCATCACCTCCCCTTCCTTCCTCCCTTCCCTCATCCTCATCTTCGGGCTCCTCCTCTCTGCTTCTCAGTCAGTGCCTTTTTCTCTCACCCTTTCCCTTCCTCTGGCTCTATCCCTCTGCTATCTGGAGGCAAAAGCCACTTCCTTGAATGTTTCTTGTGATTGTGGCTTGAACGACAAAACCGAGGAAGAGGAAGCAGTTGCTGGCACCCCTCCATAAGCTTTCACCTGTGGGCTTGAAAGAACCACACTTCATCTCATACGCTTCCTAATGTAGAGTGTAAACATGTGCATACATTTCATCATGGTTTATCCCCAAAATAGTATGATCTGCACATTTTCTCACACACACACACACACACACACACACACACACCCGTTTTAGTGCATGAGAAATAAGTGTAATTAGACCCTTTTCCTCTTGACTAGGTCCACATGTTTTGAGAACAAAGTTACAGGATAATTTTATAAATATCTGAACCATACTAGGCCATTAAAAAAAGAGAGAGGGGGACCTGTGTTGCCCTTAATAATCTGTACTGGGTCTGTCCATTTTGTAGATAAATGTTAATCCTGTTCCTTTAGGATGGAGACTTTATTTTTTTGATACAGAACTTAGGATGCAGTGGCTGTAACTACAACTGATGTGTTAGTAGGACTCCTTTCTGCTAGAAAGCCGGGCTTGTTCTCGTGTATGTGAGGATACATCTGAAACCTTCACTTCTGACATGTGTAGGTCTAATCTCAGTAACTCCTTGTCTCCCCATTATGGTAGCATTTGGGGGACCAGATGAAGTTCAGGTACGTGTTGTTTTTTTTAAATTTTTTTTTAAACTCTAAATCATGTATTATATGAGTCACTGTCGGGTATTTTGTAAGGAAGATACTATTCTGTTACCTTTTCTTTAACAAATATGTATGAAAAGTGAAACAGTTTTTTGAAAATTTAGACTCTATGGCCCTCAGATCGGACCTCTTAGTGTTCTTTTATTTAAAATTAGGTATCTGGTTTGAGGAGTTTTGCCCCCATACAGGGCTACCTCTACAGTACCAAGCAGTGCTCACATGTGCAGTAGTTTTTGATTATTTTGCTCAGTGCGTTCTGGTGACTTCGTGTCCCATGTCCTGGGGATACTATTAATACAGAAAATAAACTACAAAATTTAGAGCAAACCTAAACAAAAAAGTGAAAATAATTAGGCACAGTGGGAGAATCCGTGATTCCTAAAGGTTACTTGAGGAAATGCCAAACATTGACACTTCAGAGAATTAAGTGCTGACCAAGGAATTGGAAGGTGATTCTTAGCAGACTGTTGAGTGGCTGTGTCTAATTTTTCCCTCCTGATCAAAAGATACTCTGAGTTCCTTGTTTACCTCTCAAAAATATGTAAATGGTTTAAAAAAAAAAAACAGCATTTTGAACTCTGGGACTTGATATCACCATTCCAGTAGAAAAAGAATATATGATCCTGCTATAAATTAACATGTAAATGTTAAATTATTTTCCTTTTGTATCAGAATCAAAATTTTTTCTTTTTTGCTATTCCCTTCCATGAGCCAGTAGTCATCAGTATTTATGTGAGTTTTCAACTTACGAATTCATTCTTTGGATCATTAGATACTTAGAATTACCTAACTATGAAAAAATACTCTTGTTGTAAGAATTTCATGAAAGAAAAGTAGCTATGTAATATAAAAATATTTTTAAATACTCACCATTTTACATGCAAGTAGCAAACTCAACCAGTTTTCCCCCAAGGGAAGAAATCTGTGTTAAAAAATGGAACTAATAAAGTGAATATTTGTCCCTGATATAAAGCAAAAGCCAGAATTGATATCATTATACTTGCCCTCACCCCTAGTTGATTTAGACATTTCAAATTAGAACAGATTGAATTATGCCATTTTTACACTCACGTATTTTCATTCCTGAGTACAAACATATTCAAGAGCAGCACATAATCTAGGGACTGAGAGAGTGAAGCTTGCATTCTCCATTCCACCTTTGCAAAGGACCATTTCCATCATTTGTACAACACTGTAGGTGAAGAAAGACCAAAGTGGCTTAATATTCTGCGTCAACTGAGGGCCAGACAACAAAGGTTGGTAATGCCGGTTCACCATTTAAGTTCAAATACAGCTTCTTTGCACCAATGGTAGCGTTGCCACTAATCCTCCCCTTCTCTCTGGCCACTTGCTGTGACTTTCAGGCGAAGATGGAAGAAGAGGAGACACAGCTGGAGGAGGTGGATATTTTTTTCCCCCAAAGTTAAATACCTGGTAGTTGCTGCCTGCCATTTTTATTATGTGTGGGGTGGCACACGTTTAGGGTTTATTTGTGAGTTTTGCTTGTTGTGGCTCTAAGTTCTTAAAGGTCTTTATTTCTCTTTTATTTTGATGTCTTAGACTATCCAACTCTGGGTCATTTTTGGTGCTTGCTGATTGATACACTTATGTTTATTTGCCTTTTCCCCCCCTGTGTGTGATTTAATTTCACAGAAAAATTCCTTGAGAGTAGAAGGGGATAATATTTATGTCAGACATAGCAATTTAATGTTGGAGGTTTGTATAATTTAAGAAAACGACTCTGTCCTAATGGCTGCCAGGCTGCTGAGGACGGGCGGTCACGCACAGGCTGGCTGGCTGGCAGCTTTAAAGCACAGTGCATGAAATGCATGGGGAAAATCAACTGGGGAGTGCATGTTACCAGTCCGACTTGGTTCTTTTAAAGTGGCTTAGGTAGGAATGTATCTACTAGAAGTTCTCAGAGTGACAGCTGGGAAAAAATAAATCTGTTTAATCAAATGGATAAAGTTTTTATTTATTAATCTTGAAGTTCTGCAGGTAAACCTGTTTTCTCCTAATGGATTATCTCCAGGGTATAGACTCTGAAGTAACATGATCTCATCCTTAATATACACTCACCAGAACAGATACTTGTTGATCTGGCATGAAGTCACTTGTCTCTAGATCTGTGTCCACAATTTTTTTTTGGCGGGGTGAGAGGGGTGCCAAAATCCATGCAATTAGGAATGCGGTCCACTTAAAATCTTCCATTTGAGAATAAGCTAATTAATGGTATTGTTTTTATTAAAAACAAAGAATAAAAAATGAAGGAAAGTGAGAAAGAAAAAAAATAATACCTAGCTACCCAATTAGGGATGTAAAATGTATTGTATTCCCCGTGTCACACGAGAACGGTTTTTTGTTTTTTTCTTCCCCTTCTCATTTTAGGGTAGTTCATGGCGATGTATTTAGTGGAGATCTGCAATCCTCAGTAATTTGACTAATCCGTTTGGTTGCTTTTGGCAGCTTTGATAACTGTTGGAAATGTATTTTTGCATAACTTACTAAAATGCTCTAAAGTGTAATACATAACATTGCTTTGAAGAAATGCAAGAAATGTGCCTGATCTCAAGCCACAGTTATTTTTCCATGCCATGCAAAGATTTGTAGATGTTCATGAGTTTTTGCAGATGGCGATAGAAGCTCATAGATGAGCTACTATGCTTGTGCATGAATATGGAATATCTAATTTTATCAGATGCATGACCTGTTTCTCTGGGAGTAGTGGGATTGAAAGCTATAATTCACTGGTGGCCCCTTGATTTTTGAAATGTAAGAAAACATTTAAAATTCAGTTGCTGAATACTACCTTTTATTCCTACAAGTACTATTTATCAGGGCCAATCTAAAAAAATCCCACAAATAACATTTGTCAGGGCCTATTTCAGTGCAAATTGACCTGGTAGTTTTTCTTGAATCTTTATCTGTATAAGGACCATTTGGAATGTGGGTGGCTGGGCCCCACATTTGGGCTTGGCAAGTACATGAAACCAACATGACGTTCACTTATTAGAGAGAGGGCAAAGAGAAACAGCCTCTGGAAGCTGTTAAGTTTATCCTTAAGGATTAAAAGCCATTGCTGGAATTTCCTTAAAAAAGTCAACCCTCAGTGTACACCCTCCACCCCCTTTTTTTCTTTTGGATAATCTTGGACTGGCTTTCCCGTTGGGCCAGCTGTGCTTGAGTCCCCCTTTCTCTATTTTAACTTGATTTACCATTTCACAAGAGACAACTTCAGTAGCAGCCCTAATCAGAAAGGTAAATTTGCAAGCACGAAGTCATAGGCTGCATTTCAAATCCAACTATTGGAAAGAAGGGTTATTAGCCATTTTGAGTATTAGTTCCATGGCCTCCTTCTAATAAATAATTATTTCTTAAAAAACTCAAGACAGAAGAAATCAGAACCCTTTACAAGTTGAATCATAAAAAAATTACACATTGGCTTTATTTTCAAACTTTGACAAACTCCTATTCATAGGTGATAAGATGGCTTTTGAGACTTGGCATTTTTCTTGCTTTACTATGTTTTTTTTTTTAATCATAAGTTTGCTTTGTCTTATTTTTTTGGTTTTATTTTTTATTTTTATCCTATTGGGTTTTTTTTTTCCTTTTGGATTTTTCCCCCTTTATTACGTTACATATTGCTAGGACCTGGATAAGGCCCAGGAGGAAATACTGAAACATCAGGCTAGCATTAGTGAACTCAAGCGCAATTTTATGGAGTCCACACCTGAGCCGCGCCCTAATGAATGGGAAAAACGACGTATCACACCTCTGTCCCTACAGACACAAGGGGTATGTCGCTAGCTGTTTGTTGGCTATATGTCTTGTTCCAGCTCTTCAGTAAAACTTAGGTTGCTAATCTATCATGTTGATTCTCAGGAAGTTACAAAATATTCCCATTTAGTTTTTTTTTTAATTAGTTGCTAACAATTTTTTAAATACTAAATATTTATTAACAATGTAATACTTATTGACGTAGTTCTTGGATAAATTGTATGAATTTTAAAATACTTTTGAAATGCTGTGAGAATAATTTCACTATTTTACTCAAGTAAATTAATAGTAATAAAGTGTTACATAGGGTGACTTAGAAACTGACATATTGTATTTCTTAAGTTTTTCAGTTGTTGCCTTCTGAAATAAGAGTTTGTTTAATAATTAAAGAATTAGTAATTAAAGGGATGTAGGAATATAGACCATATTTAGAATGGTTTAAGGTAAATACTGTGAGGATAAAGAGTTAAATTTAACTTTTTAAGACTGATGAGCCCTGTTGAAAACTTGCAGAAAACTTGCAGAATGTTATACAACTTAATGTTGAAACTTAGGCTAGTGTTTTTAAAAAGATTTTCAACCATAACATCTCTCCAAACTCAGTCTTTTTCTTTCCATGGTTTGTTTCTTTCCACTACCAATATAAGCATTGCCTTTAGAATATGTTCTCAAAGTATTTCCCCATTCATTCCTATCTACACCTGTTCTTTTCTGATGCTCCAAAATCTCTCCTGTTGTCAACCAAGGACTTCCATGGGCTCATTTATCATACTTGAGGAGGTGGTGATCATGCTGTATGTAATACGCAATTTTTTAAAGTGTATAAGGTGTTACCCTACCCCTCTCTTCTCCTTATATTCATCATCTAGTCTGACTTGAATGTTACCAAATTATAGGCATTGAATTTAGATAGTCTCATGCTATTTTTATTCACCACTTCTTAAAAAGCAAAGCTGTTACTTGCTTTAAATTTCTCAGTTTGTGACAGTGAAAGGAAAATAGCTCTTAAGAACAGATGAGCAAAAGAAATTGCTAAACACAAAAAACAACTTTTGACAATATTAAGATTTAAAACACCATGGCAGGGTCTTATGAAGTTGTGTACAACTTAAATTCTTATTTTCAACTTTTCTGTAGAGATTTATGTCCGTATTTCAGCAGTCGACTCTAGAGCGTTGTGCTTTCTGGGGGAAGTGTCTGATGACTTGCTAAAACTGTGTCTTCCTTTTATGTGCCGCGTCCTCTGGCTTGTTCTGCAGACCCACACAGTTGTTTTATGTTTGTGCTGCTGTAGATGTAATGTACTTGTCTTATTTGTTGATTATGTCTATTGTTTAAAACAATAGAGCAAAGGAGACCATCTTTTCAAGGATATTTTATCCGTGAAGGAGAAGCACCAGATGGCGGCAGCACACACAGTTGAAGAAAAACCCGAGGAGGCAGACAAGGTGTTCACCTTGCATCCTTGGATCTGCTCTTGCTTTTCCGCCTTCTCCTTTATTTCTGTCCACAGCCATAAGATACTCCTTTTTTCTTATGTCGCAACCTAACGTTTTTTTTTTAAATAATTTTTGAGCACTTAAAAAGTTAAACTCCACATATAGACACATAGTCATTAGGTGAGAAACACCATATTGTAGAAATACTTTGAAAATCCACAGTTTGAAATAAAAACATATCAACCAGTTTAGGTGATATGTGACCCTTAATCTTGATGCCCGTGGCTGACAGTTAGGAAACCATGATTTCGTGGGAAAATGCACTATTTGTACAAGGCTTGTGCACACTGCGGTGGTGTTAAAATAACAAATTATGTGTGATTTAGATTACTGTTATACAAATTACATTTGGAAACCTTGTGAATTTTTATTTTTAAGACGTTTAATGGGGTAAAAGATTTCGGTGTAAGAGAGCAGCCCCTCGATCGCTCTGTGCTCCTGCGTATCTGAAATATCTGGCGTTGCTAAGGAAGTTAGCTTTCTGTTGCTTTTACATTCTTATTCCTCTTTCTGCTGATTTGATTTTGCTCAGCCAGCTGGACAGCCTGTTACTTGTTGGGACTAGAATGCTTGGAGTCTAGTGGAGGAGATAGCAGATATGTAAATTAGTAATTGGAAAATCTGGGGTACTAAGAAGTATTAAGATGAAATGCCTGTTGTGTTACAAGGTGACTGGGGAAGGATCAGGATGAGGGAGCATTTGAGTTGAGACCTTAATGATGAGAATGGGGTGGACCTGTGAAGATTTCTCCATGTGTAAGAAAGAGCAAATACAATAGCCCCAAGATACGAATTAATTTGAAGAACTGAAAGGCCAAATTGACAAAGTCTTAGAAAAGTCAGAGGTCAGACCCCAGATTCCATCAGGATCTTAAAGACCATATTAACAGTTTGGAGTTATAGGACTGATGGGAAGCCGCTGGAGAGCTTTAAGCTGAAAGGTGACCTAGTCCCATGTGTCTGACAGGTGCCGGATGAGGAATGGCCTATAGGGGTTGTGAGTGAGGGCACAGATCAACATTAGGAGAAAGTGTTAATTGCGTTAATCAGTAGAAATTGTTATTCATCAGGACATACAGTGGGGTGGTGAAGGAGGCAAAATAAATGGAAGAGGAAGTCTTGCACTAGAATAATTTGAGAATGTTTCTGAAATACTGCAGATAAGAAAGATAACATCATGAAGCTAAGCCGAATGGCGTATTTATAAAAGGTTAGCTTGAATTCCAAAGCCATTGAGTCTCTGTATAAAATGATGACTTTACTATCTTGTGCTTAGAAATATTACGTACTTTTGAAATTTTATCCTTCTTAGAAGCAAGTTAAATGGCATCATTTGATCAATTTAAAGTAATATTCTTGCAGTAGGAAACTTTAGAATTTGGAAGAAGATATTTAAAAATGATCATTTTTCTGGGTGTCATTGTTTAGGAATGTACAATGTAAACCATGTACAGTAGAAACCATTCATTCATTATTGTAGAAGTTTCATTAAAATGATGTTATGTGCAGTTTAAAACTGGAATTTACCCACTTGTGGAGCCCCTAAATGGTTTATCTGTACTTGAAGTTATGCTTTTTTCTTGTTTTCCTCTCCAGCACATTCAGGAAAATATCTACCTATTTGACACACATATAGATTGTTGTAACTGCAGTTACCCATTCACCCAACAAACATTTTTTCTGACCACTTACATTGTATCTCTCCCCCCAACCTCCTTTTAACATATCACTACTATTAGTTGAAAGTTAAGTCTACTGGAGAATTTTGATTTCTAAAAGAAAAGCTTTTAGATTTCTGTCTTTGTTGCAGCTTCATTTTGCTACTTAATTTTCAGGATTTCTCGATTATCTTTAAATTGTAATCGCTAATGATATGTAAAATAAAAAATTATCCGTAAGAATAGAATTTAACCAAATTTTCCAGATTTCTATAATATGTGTTTATGGATTAAAAAAGGAACAGTAATAGTTTCTTGTTTAAAAATCAATATGTCAGACTTTTAAAATGGCTTCAGTACATTATGAATGATTCTGAGAGTAGAGCAGAAAATTGGAAACCAAATCATTTAGTCTTGAATAGGCAAATAACTCTGTTGTGTAATCCTCTTATGTACTGTGAGAATTATGGCATACTTGAACTTGTGTGAAATATTCTCTCATGAGTCTAGTAGAGATTACGTAGGCTGTAGTTTTAAAGTACTTTTGGAGGTATTTTATTGAATAGTTAGATGCATGGCACTTACTGAAACTCTCCAGTGATCTTTTGCTGGAAGGACTCCATCTCCACCCTAGGGATGGTGTAATTATGGAGATTGTAATTAAGCTGAGTTAGTCCAGAAGCTTTTTTCTCTCCTGAATGTTGGAAGTGCTCACACACCCAGCCCTCCTGATCTCCTGTACCTCCTCCTCACACCCTTAGTGTGCTGTCCCGAGAGGCATCCCAGAATGCTTTTCATGTACTCATTTATCTATTTATCTTCAGCACCTCTGAGCAGTGGGGTTTATTAGGAAGTATTCTTGCACACATTGACACGAGGAGGCACTTC